GAACGGCGGGGGAAGAATCAGCCTTTTCTTGTCCCAGCCATCTCCCCACCCCCCATATGCCTCTCAGTTTCGCTAGACGTCCTCTTTCTGAATTTTTTGAGCACTTGTTTTCTGACCTTTTGAGTTGCTTACGAATAAATTAAGATGTGCTAAATGTCTCCTAATCTTTACTTTTCTGCCAAGGGCCGTCGGGTCTTCTCGACTTTTGGGGGGATGGGGAGGGTTACTGTTTCTTACGTAACTTTGCAGCGCATCACCTTTGAGAGTTGGCAATGGTAATTGCAGCATCCTAGTGACTAGCTCTTTCTTTTCAGGAAGGAGCCAACCTTCAGTGTTTATGTCAGTGATCTCCAGAGGGGGTGAGCACACTGTGTGTTAACAGAGTGGGCATGAGGGATGATCCTTTGGGACGTGTGTAGAAAATAGTAGAGTTCCAGTTTTAACTGTATGCTTGGGTTTACCCAGAAAGAGAAATTGAACTTTACTCACATTTAATGTAGTGCTTAACACCATCATACGGCAGGCAGTGTTGAGAACTTGCCTCAGTTCCTCCTGGCCTCTTCTACATTTAAGATGCCTAAGGAACGTAAAGCCTTCTTGGAAGACTAGTCGAGGTAGCATAACCCCGTGGGGCTTTGAAAATTTTCACACTGATATAAATTACAGGGCGTATCCTTGAGGGACGAAGTGGAGCTCTATACGTTGGCCTCTCAACTTATTCCTTTCAGACTATTGTGATATAATACAGTTTATAAGTGCAGAGTTCTCTGGAGTTACAGATTATGTAATCTAGTTCGACTAAAGTAACCCTTCCAAAATGGACCAGTATTTTGAAAATTTCTGGGACCAAACTGGGAATCAAAGATAATATTAAAGGTTCAAAAATGTGCAAAACAACATGAAAATTACATTGTCAACACTTTTAAGTCCAAGCTTTTCTTCAGTCACTTTACCAGATAATAACTATGACTATATAATAGTCGGTTTTGACTCATTTGACACTATCAAGAAGACAACTTGAAATACGAATTTTTTAAATGATTTTTATGGATTAGCCTTACTGGCTAGGAGCTCCAATTCTCCATATGGACCCTTCGGCCTGAATATTGGGCTCCTTTATGCTGGTTTTGTCTCAGAGAGAAACGGAAACTGCCTCTTAAAGTCTTAAGCCTGGAATGGACATGGAAATATAATATGCTTATATTTAAGCATATTAGTGAAAATAAGTTTGGCCTCTTCTTATAAAAATATTTTTCAGTTTTTCTTACTTTTATGTAGCTTATGGTGGTGAGGGTCTCCAGTAAGCCCTAAATTGTTGGATATACTCTAAGACTTATTTGTACTCCATGACTTTGGAACCAGTGCCTAGGTGTTGGTTATTTCCACATGCCCTCAGAGCAAAAGCTTCGGGAGCTTTGCTAATCAGTTTATCTCAGGGTTTAGACTTGTTACAGGGAGACGAAGAGAGACCTCAGTTCTTATGTTCTTGAGGGAAAGATTTCCATCAAGAGACAAGGTGTAGAAAAGCAAGCAAAATGTATTGGCCGCAGCAAAAATATACTTAGAACGTTGAGACAAGGAAGGTGCATAAAGAAGTAATAGGAGAGCCTAAAGTGGGCTGCTTTGACTCACTGAGAAGTTGGAGAGAAAGGGGCCCTTGAGGCAGGTTCTGGGACCTTGGAGACAGTTTCAGAGGTAAGCCCGGGATGAGCTACTGCTGCCACCCGTTGCTCCCCTGGTTGCAAGTCTCGTGGGGTCCCTCAGAGGGGGAAGGAGATGGTGCTGGCATGCTCCCCTTGAGGGGGAGGGGAGAGAGCCCTTGGGTCCTTTGTCCTGAGCACATTTATCTCTTTCTTGCAAGCTGGAAATCTTAGGAGAGGTCTCAGAGACACTCCCTGATGTCTCAATAGAAGATTCATCAGCTTTCCAGCTATGCCCCACTGATTGGTTGGTGTGAGGTCATTAGCGTAGCTGGTCCTGAGGCGGCTAAGGCTTCACTTGGCGGGTTTTGCTCCTTATCTGACCCTGGAGCTGAAACACTACTGAGCCTAGATATGATCTTTAGGGAGGAATGCTCAGTGGATATAAACCATAGGACTAGCGATGTGCTAGGGGGAGGATAGGTTACCCTGAGGAAAAAGGTCTTGTTTTCTCAGTTTCACCCCTTGCTAGGCATCCAGGGCTTTTTGCCCTGGTGAGTTTCTGTAGCTGGCCCATTGTGCTTGCTCTGCTTATGTCTGCCTCTATAACAGACTTGTCCTCAAATATTGGCCTGGAAGTTTCCATCTAATGGTAAGGCGATTTAAAAATAATATTTTTGCAACATTTTGATTATTTTCATTATTAAGGTTAATCAAATTATCCTAGCCTACCATTATTAGAAATAAGGTTTTTTTCCCCCCTTGAGTCAATATTTGTAATTTATGTAATTTTAGAAGGCCCATTTCATCCATATTTTCAAATGTATTGGTAAAAAGGTATAGCATTTGTTAATATATTTTTAAATTTAAATTCCATTTGTGGTTATATACTCTCCTTTTCTTATTGCTCTGTCCTTTGATGGTCTATCCTTTTCAAAGAAGCAACTTTTGAACAATCACATCTATTTTTTGTTTTTAATCTGTAATATTGTTTTAGTGTTTTCTTTCTTGTACTTCATTGCTTCAGAATCTAGGTTTTGACCACCTCCTTGAGGCTATTTCCTGGATCTCCAGTACTTCCTCCATACTTTTGCTCTTACCACATCCCTCACCAGGGCTTTTCAGAGTAGTGCAAAAGACCTTATCTTTTGTCTTTTATGCCCCTTGTGCTTAATCTTTTTGCCTTCTGGCAATCTCTGCTGATCCTTAAAGAATGCAAGTGATGTACAAGTTGGCAGTTGCAAAATATTCATGGTAATGTCAAGTTCAGCATAGGGAATACAGTCAATAATATTGTAATAACTATGTATGGTATTTGGGGGTTACTGGACTTATCCCAGAGATTACTCTGTAAGTTATATAAATATATAACCATTATGCTGTACACCTGAAACTAATATAATATTAAATGTCAACTATAATTAAATTTTAGAAGGCAACACTATATGAAGAAAAAAGAATGTAAGTGAAAATTATTTTTATTCAAGTACCATATGATTTCACTCGTGTGGAATCTAATGAACAAAATGAACTAACAAGCAAAATAGACTCATAGATAGCAGGCTGACGGGAAGGGGGTTGGGTTTGGGGGGGTGGAGAGATTGAGCAAAAAAGAAAAAAGGGGAAAAAATTCATGGACGCAGACCACA